TCTTTAATTAATCATTATTCACTTTATTTTAATAATTTTACTATTAATTTACTTTTAGAATCGCTACTTAAATATTTATAACCAATATAAATACAAATTTTTATACTTTCTATATTTTAGTTTTAAAAAACCACGTTTATAGTTTACTTGAGTGACGAACTGAGTAAAGTCATTTGTAAAAACTGTATAAAGACCAGCCACCGGGATAGACGTTAGTGAATAAATTATATATTTTGCCAAGAACTTTACAAAAGCAAACCACACAGACACACAGTTGGTAATTCTCACTAATTGTAGAGACATTTGGATATTGAATACCCAATAATAATTTCGGACAAAATTACGTTTCGTATCGGGATATGAGTATATGACTGCGCAGTACGTGTTCACAGTCGGATATTTCGGTCTTCGGTTAAGATGTCACACCCTCATATATGAGTTGTATACTTGTATCCGTCTTACGAACGTTTAAACATAGCAAAAACTGTTTTGAGCGAGATAGAGACTCATTCTGTAGTCTAAGCTAAGTAACCAAATTTGCGTACTATTAGGAGGTGAACATTTACTGTTCGACATTTTTCGGTATCACAAATACAAGAAAAGTTTTTAATGTTTAAAAATGCATTAATTAAAACTCGAATAACTTTTTTTGTATTTGTGATATCAAAAAAAATAAAAATAATGATACACAGTAAATATTATGTTCTAAATAGTATGAAAATTTGGTTGCTTAGCTAAGACAGCCTGATTGGTTCTATCCCGCGCTAAACAGTTTTTGCCATGTTTTACATTTGTAAACGATTTAACATCATCCGTCATCAGAATATTTGTAACGGGGACTTATGCTATTGTTGATCGCCGGTATAGCTCCTACAAATTCGGCGGTTGGCTATAACGACTTGCGGGGTTAGGGATTCGTGTCACCAAATGAATACACAATATTTATAAATACAATTAACAACGTATGTGTGTGTACACTCATACAAATATAATAATAATAATATATCAACGTCGTTGCGTGATTATATATAATACACAAAAAAAAGCTCTACCTAGCGGGCGCCCCAATATATAGATTTAAGAATACTGAATAATACACAATAATAATAATACAATTTCAGACCAATATGGTCGAGCAGACAAAATATAAATATATAGTTACAATGATTATGATATAATAAATTGAAAAATTAAGATTTAATACCAATCAATGTTACGACCTGACGGCTGACAGCGACATTCGCACGTCTCCACTCCGACGAGCTATAATATCCAACCAGACTGAATGGCAATAGGTGACGGCAACAGGTGGTACACTTCCCAGGCAGACAGGTCACGGGACAGGAAGCTCCAGGGCTGATGGCGAAATATGAGTTTGAGTGACCGTGGCTCCAGCACAGCGCACGCGGTACACGACCGTGCGATCTCCGCAGAGAGTAATACGTACTGGTATATATGTATACTATTTGTATATATACAAGATATCCTGCGACCGATCACCAGGTGGCACGTGGTAGCAATTATAATAATAAAACAAAACACGTTGGCCAAAAGGACCAAGCACGCTGGCGTAACAGGCGGGAGCTGAGGAGATGGTCCGTCAGTCTCAACCGCGGAATACAGACAACACCGGCCGGCGACTCTGTCTTAGCTCGCGACGAGTTGTCTGCCGATGTAGGATGGGTAGGGTGCTCGGTGAACTTCGACGCCGACGGCACGATAGCACCCGCCGATAATATCGGCGCGACGTGAAGTTGTTCCGATGTTCGAACATCTAGGATTGTCATATCCAGTGAGGCGTCGCCGTAGACACTCGCCGCCGCCGACGACGACGTGAAAACTGACAAACGAAGGTATATCGAGAAGCTACTAGTACATGCATACGACCCTAGTCGATGGGAGTCCAATATCCAGTGAGGCGTCGCCGTAGACACTCGCCGCCGCCGACGACGACGTGAAAACTGACAAACGAAGGTATATCGAGAAGCTACTAGTACATGCATACGACCCTAGTCGATGGGAGTCCAACATTCACTGCTGATGTTAATATATTATATCACTGCGGCGAGCACTGCCGGTACATGTTCATGGTCTAATCATTTTGTATTATGTTTAGCAGTCGTGGTAATATAGACACTTTGTGTGGCAATTGTGTTATGCCACTCATACTAAATCCATAAGGCTTAATAATGTGTATTAATGTATGATAACACTATAACCGTAGTTAGACAAAATCAACAGTAATCACTAATCAGTGGCGTACACAGCTATTTTCAATATGTAACCCTCTGATACACAGGGTCGTCCTGAACTATACTTACTAAAATCTATTACTAATATATTAGGTAGTAGGTACATAACATTATACAAATTGAAAATTAATTTTAATTTATATACCTATATATCTTTAATCTTTATTAAGCTATACCTTTAAGAATATATTATTTATACTTTTCGAGTTGCTCATGTGAAGATAAAAATACTAACAATTTATCAACTATCATAGGTACTTGTATAACACCCACGAAGCTGTAGCCAAATTAAATTTTTTTATCAAAATTTTAACTTCAGACGATCATAAAAATATGAAAATTTGGTTGCTTAGCTTGGATTACAGCCTGATTGGTTCTATCCCGCGCAAAACAGTTTTTGCCATGTTTTACATTTGTAAGGTACAACACATGCGAGTAGCGTGGAATGGAAGGAATGGAAAACTGTATAAAATAAAAACGATCTAACATCATCAGTCATCAGAACATTTGTAACAGGGACTTATGCTGCGATCGTGATGTCCAGTGAGGCGTCGCCGTAGACACTCGCCGCCGCCGCCGCCGACGACGACGTGAAAACTAACAAACGAAGGTATATCGAGAAGCTACTAGTACATGCATACGACCCTGGTCGATGGGAGTCCAACATTCACTGCTGATCGTGCTAGCCGTCGTGTAGGTAGACACTTTGTGTGGCAATATTATTATTATTATTATATTGTGTTATACCACTCATAGAACAATATACTAATATATACTAACAATATACTCATACTAAAGCCATAAGCATCGGCGTATCTAGGGGGGGAGGTTAGCCCCTCTATGTGTGTATTTATCTCCCTATAATATATATTGTACCTATTTTATCATTTACATTTTGTTTTTGATGATAAGTTTATACTTTAATTTTATTTTGATTTTTAATTTTGATTTTAGTGGACTGTTACGCTTACTGTGGTGGGGTGTGGGGCCCCCAAAGTTATTTTGAACATTAGTTTCCTAGAACTCAAGCCCCTGTAACTATTTAATCCTAGTTACGCCTATGCCCAGGAGGTCGCTACCCGCAGGTTCAGAAACACTGTTGTAGATGACCCGTTTCAGTCAATGCTTGAATTGGAGGTAATAAACCAATTCTTCAAAAAGAATATTTTAGTGTAGGTACCCTTTCCAATAAATAAATTTATTATTTATATATTTCTAATATCAATAAGAAATTAAAATCATCCGGTATGCATATACGTGTATATTATTGTATCCCCCATTAATTCTTTTTCGAACTCGAGCACTGTTCATTGTTAATGTCACTGAAAAAATATCTTCTCAACAGTGATGTAAGTCCATCCATGATATCTAAAATACAAATGTGAAAAAAAAACAAATTTTGCAAATAATATGCATAATTTATTTTGTGTAATATACATTTAATTGTTATAAACAATCATAAAAAAACACATTCCAAAATAAAAATGGAACAATTATTTTTTCCATAGTTCAACATTCGATTATTATTGTTACTTATAATTATGTGTATTATATAATAGTAAATTTATTGATGGAAAATTAATTCCAATTTTCAATTTAGATACCCAGGATACATAGGGTTGGGCAAGATACTCAAAAAAGAAAAATACATGATGCATTGATATTTTATAATTCCAATTAATTGAATTTTATTAACAATTAACTATACATCAATACGTATAAAGTCAGACTAAGAAGAAGTAATTATGGGTAAATACTATTGCATTATAACTTAAAAGAAATACACTTAGATATCCGAATTTTTTTTTAAATACCACATTAGTAGTAATATATTACTTAATATAAGATCACTGATATCAAAATATAATTTACATTACCTATATTATTGTAAGTACCTGCAAATGGGGAATCGAGTGAATATCTAATGTTGTAAAAATGTCAACTTCAAACGCTCATAACAATTTAATTTGACTTTCCGGTGGAAATTTTTTTTTTTTGATGAAGGTAGACAAGCTTATAAGGTGTCGTGTATTAAATTTTAAAATCTTAGATATAAAAGAAAAATTTGAATGAGTTTCAAACTAAATAAAGTTTGCTAATTTTCGTAATTTTTACGTTATTCGTAAGATTCTAAGTTTAATCGCGCATAACAAATTATTGTGGATTTACGCTTAACTTTCTTTTTTAATTTTGCACAAACAACTTACGAAGAACCTTGTATCACATTCAGAAATTTTTTGACGGAGCGAAAAACATTTTATCGACATTAGTTTTAAAAAAAACAAATAGTAATAGAAAATTGAGCATGAATATAAATAGTTCAACATAACTCAAAATATTTTGAAAATTGTATGGTGTGTAGAAAATGCTAACACAAATATTCAGTGTTAATATCGTGTATCTACGGTCATTTTTTTAGAGTGCCTATTCCTGTATGTAGTATCTATGAGTAAATATTGCCCATGAGCTGTCGACAATGATGATTTAAAAAACAAATTGATTCGATTATATTTGGTTTTGTGAGGCAGAACAATAAGTTTTGTGCAAAGTATTTTTGGTCATATTGACGTTAATTTACAAAACTATACGATGAGGACCATTGAAAGTTAAAAAAAATTAAATAAAAATTACAAACAGGTGATAGTTTTAATAAAATATTATTTATTACAGATAAATTGTATTTATATTTCTTATTATTGAACAAACAATAATATTGAAATGCTTAGGTAACTTATTCATAAATGTATTTATGTATGTCAGCCTCTCCCTTATATTTTAACATACGTTCAATGAATTTATTATGGTAATTCATAGGTAAATTAATATCTTAAAAACATCGTTAATTAATATAAAGCTTTACATTAATTAGTTAGGCACCATATTTAATTATTATCAGTTATCCCCCTTAAATATTAAGCCAATGCAGGTACTATGAACTACACATAGTTCATTATTATATTGATATACCTATTTACTCAAAGATTTGAAATATTAGGTACTTTACAATATTGTTAACATTAATAGTTGTTCTTAATATAAAAATAAACAAAATAAATAAATAAATAAATAAATTACACATGCATGTACCTTAAAATTAGTTTTATTAGTGGGTATTTGCAAATTTTAACGATAAAGGCATTCCTCCATTAATCCAAGTTCTCTAATATTAAGTTTCATGAAACTATAAAAGAGAATATACTTCTTGAACTCAAAATTTAAATCACAAATGTAAAAAATATTTCTAGAAAATAGATTTATATAATAAAAAAAAACATGATAAATAATTGATTACAATACAAAAAAATAAAAAATCCTACTCAATTCTTTTAAAGGATTTGTATAATGGATTATCTTAGTATCGTTAAAAAAAAAAATAGTTACACTGGGTATTCAAATATCTAACATAACACAATTTTGTCTTCGGTGGTATCCATTTATGAGATGATAAGCGATCATCATCTCACGTTCGCTATGGATACGTGATCGAATACATTTATGATTTAAATCTTTAATAAAACACAATAAAACAATAAACTAACTGAGTTCCTTGTTAAAATAAACTAAAACTTAACTTATCTACTGCTGTAGAGATTAGGCGTAACTTGATATTATTTCCGAAAATATTTTATAGATGTGGGATAAAATGATAGCTTAATAGTAAGTAGGTTTATAATAGTTTTATAAAAGTATAAAATGTGATTTTCTAGAACTCGGTTTTATGCTAGTGAAATAAAGTGAATAAATATATTAGAGCAAAATGTATCCAATCTTTTTTAATAATTATTAATAATTATAATATTAGTACAATATGTTAGGTTCTTAGCTATTATGCAAATGTTTAGTGTTTACAATTTACCATAAATACCGTTTCAAGCAAATTCTAAGAACTATTACTATACTACTCGTACTCGTACTTACGTAAATGTCCAAAATAGCTACCTATATATTGCGTAAGTAGTCAATGTCAGTGGCGTTACAAAGCAAGTAAAAATATATAAGTAATGAAAACGTGTTCAGTAGGGCCCATTATCTTCTTGAAGAATAAATAAAAATAATCGAGAACTAGGTAGATTTAAAGTTGTTATGAATATATTATTAGGATAACTAGATAACATAATAAATAATGATAGATATGTGTAATAATAATTTTGCACTTTTATAGATATTGCAGTGACGTAGGTACTTATACTTAAATAGAGAGAGTACTCCCTGAATACACAAACTACAGTTTATTATTTACACGTACAGTGATAATAACGTTTAACGTTACATGGGTAGAAGTGAACTTAAGAATCAATTGAAAATCTTAAGAAAACTCATTTTAATGAAAAAAAAACCGGATTGTATAGGTCTTTAAATAATAATTTAGAGATTTGAAATTTTAACAAATTGTCCCACAGCTATACTAATGTTTTTCACAAATTACCAAATAATATAAAGAGAAAAAAGATTTTGCAACGAAATTATTCGACAAGGTTATACAGTTTTAGATCATAATTTTAAATTGTATGACAAAAATAACCAAAAGAGGAGAACTTTGACTGGGCAATAGGATTTTTATTTTTTCACATTAACAAAAAAAGGTGTTCAATTAGTTTCAAAACACAAACATAAAGGTTTTGAGAACAATCATAACATCTTTGTATTAGTGATTTCGGAAAAACAAAAAAGACACTGCACTGTACTGATAAATTTCTAGTCTTTTTATGAATTTTTAAGTATCAAGTCAGACTGAATAGTTTTAACAAACAATTAATGGATATATTTTGGCGTTTTTTGGTGTATTTAAGGAAGTTAAGTAGTGAGGATAAACACAATAATCACGCCCGTAAAATATTTTTATAAAAATCTTACAATCTAATAATAGTTAATTTAATATAGTGTAGGTACCTATAATATGCATATCAGATCAGTCACCGAGAAAATCCGAAGTATAATAACCACCGCAACTCCTAATAAAGACGACAAACTTCGCCATATCCGTGCGGTGTTGATCGTGACCCTCCCCATACGACCCTATCACCGACTCCACGTTACCTAATAGTACATCGTTATTGTTCTGTGGGCGCAGTTTAATTTAATTTATACCTATATATATTACAATAATACTACGTAACCTACATTATGTGGATAAGTTTTCGGTCACGGGCAGCCCCGATACACACAATACCTAGGTATATAATAGTACTATACAGTGTGGTATATTATACCATATAATCGGTAATTGACATCTCCCAACGCTCGGAAATCATTTATAATAACTGTTGTCCCAGGATATTGGTGTCCGGACCGTGGAGGCGTACTCGCTGACGGCCGATTCGTATATGGAGGCGGCCTCACGGTTGCCTCGAGACCTATACGTGGCGCATAGCCAGCACGCGAATATGACGAACAGCTGGAGCACGACGAATGCTACCAGCACCAGTGCGAAAGCATACGTGTTCCAGTATAAGGTGTTCTGGTCGCCTGTGGTGATGGTGGAGGTGGAGGTGCCGCTGCTGCCCGAGAAGTTGATTTCGTGGCCGGGCTCGCCCCGTTGGGCTTCAAATTTAAACTTGTCCTCGATGCGGATCTCCTGGAAGACTACTTCGTCGGTTTGGTTGCCACCGCCGGCGCTGCGTCTACGGCGCCGCCTATCAAAAAAAATAACGTGATCAGTTTTAAATACAGCAAAAATCCAGGACTTAAAACAGGGTGCAACATATTATTATATATGCAGTAGTCTGTCACTGTTTTATTTGGCTGACTAAACAGTTAAAGGGACATAAATATAATACCTATACGCATACATCGGTGGAGAAAGAGCTTAGTCCCATTCAATTTATTATATTAGCCCTCCACAAAAGAAATTGTACATTCATATTAAATAAAATTTAATTATTTAAATTACTTTATTATATTTGTGGGAGCTAAGCGCTCCTTAACCATCACTTAGTTAGTTAGTTACGCCTATGAGTCAGTCTACATATTTGATTATAATTATTTCAAAACAAAAACTTAGATAAGAAACTCATAATAAATAATCCCATAATAATCAAATAAACAAATATCTGTTGCAGCATTACACTACAATATATCTATATTAAGAACTTTTGTGTATTTTGTAAAATAAATACTTACGGTAATTCCTACTTTGTACATAATACATGTATATTATACTCACCATCATTATAAAAAACAATGTTTAATTTTAAAAAAATGAAGGATAGAACATCAATTAAAATAATTACATTGGTAGTTAACATTTCTAAAAACACATTTTTCAAAGCTCAAAATAGGTAGCTTTAAAGTTAATATAGAAAAAAAAATCATATTATAATATTGACTTAACTCAGTTAAAACGAAGATTGACATACAGTTATTGTGCAACATTCGCATTTTTAAACAATGATTAAAAATGTTATAAAAAATAAGTACAATTACGACAAAAAATATATATACAATATTGTTACATCGTACATCTAACTATTTTTTGACATTAGATGTACCTATTTGATTAAACAATTACCAAATTATTGAATTAAGGAATATTTATTTATTTTTTTTTTTGTTTAAGTAATTTTTTAATAAGTTTTAAAACAAAAATATAATTAATTAATGAGTACATTTAAATAGAGATATTGTACATTTATAAACATGGATTTTATTTAATCTGTTATTTTTCAAATTAAGTACAATAAGTCATTAGAATAGATACTTGAACTAGTTTATTTATTAAGTTAATTTAAAAATTATCCGATTAAAGAAACTGAATAATTAAAAATAATTTTTATAAAAATTTAAATAAAATAAACTTAAAAAAAAAATATAATATTCAAACAATTATACAATATATCGTTGTCAAATTGTAACAAATCCATTATTCTCTCCTTCAAATGTGCAATAAAAACATTAAATAGAAACAGATGGGTATGATATAGGTAGATATGTATTTATGTGTGCTATATAAGTTATATAATATAATGTATAAAATATGCAAAATACAATTTGGTTTTTAAAATGGCTAGGTTAAGTTATTGCCAAGTTAACTTTCATAGTCATAATTTTATATTTTAAATTAGTATACCTAAGTTATAACAGGTTATAACTGACCATATATTATGACTGATATTTTTTATTGCACATTAGATATTAGGCTATTAGAGTGGAAAATTTCATTTGAAAAGTGCACCTTATTTTAATCGAATAAAGGAAATGTTCCTCTTGTTTCTGTAGACAAATTTACGTGTTTTAATATTTTGTAGTTAATAGTAGGTACAGATAAATTAAGATACCAACTGAACCCACCATATATTATGTTAATATGTTACGCAACTTCTCGTACAGGATTGAAGCTTTTATAATTATTTTTTTTAAATAGTCCAAGGTCTACTTAAATTTAATATTTATACATTTTTAAAAACAAAATAAATTCGAGTTATAACCTTAGTAGCCAGATAACTGAGTTACCTACGACATACTATGCATATACTAAACTAAGGTACACCTAAATTATGTCATTGTGACATCACCGTGTCGCAAAAAGCGTGTTCTTCTAGCGAATTCTGAAAATGGAGAAGCAAATTCATAGCAAAATATTGATATTTGGTTAAAAGTTGTAGCACTAAGTTCTGGTGCCAACTTGATAGATATTATATGATTTAAGTTCATGTTGTTACCAATCTGTTAGGTTTTGGTTTTGGTTTTGGTTATCTGGGTTTGGCATATTATGTTTGATATTGGTAGTTATTTTACCTAAAGACATGGAGATGGAGTAACGACTCGAGTCAATCGAGTTGGATTATATTTTCAACTTAATGGTAACCTGTATCCCATAGTATCAGTTTGCCGATAGCACATTAATTGACCAATCAGAGAGTATCGTTTCACACGATTACGCGAACATGGTAGAAGTGTATAATAGCGCTTTTATGGTAAATACTAAATGTACGTCATTCTATCAAACTATTAAAATAATAACTAATATTTACAACTGTCAACGGTATTGTACATGTTATTCGGGATTGTTTGTCGTACTATAATATTATATTATTATGTGTAATTATGTTGAATCAACGACGACGATGGCGTCGTCGGTGCCTTCAAATATCGGCGTGAGATTATTTACTTGTATTATTTAAATTCGATAACTGTACCTACTGCATGTCGTTTTATACTTGTATTTACATAGCACCGGAGAAGCCGGCCCAACTGGGAATATCCGTCCGAGAAATGGGAGTGAATATTCAATTTAATAAGGCTGCGAAATGGGCCGGAAAAACAGTAATAATAATAAGGCTCATAATATGACATTTTATTCTATAAACATTTATTACAGTGTTAAAAACCGGGTAAGTTATTCTGCTGTATAGTAGGTGTGTGGGGAAACCTCATCATTGAACAGGTCACTGTAATGGATACGTTAAATTTTGAATTCAATATTTCAATGATAAATCATTGCAAGCGAAGCGATTCTGAGCGGAGACAATTTGTCAGCTTGTAATGGCTATATTATATATATTTCTACACAATAATTTTGAGGTATATCACTAAAATTTGAAATTCAAAAGCTTACCTATGAAAAATTCTTTAAAAAGATTTTAAATATTTTTTAATTACTGTAATAAAAATGTGAGGAAACTTTCATTATCTTTTTAAGCATTTTAACCCACAAACAAAAATGTTATCACAAGTCAAATAAAAACTAAAACAAAATAAAAAATGAAAAATGTATAAAATGTTTACTTATATAAACATTTTTTTAATAATTTTACGTCACCATGTGGTTATTCATTTTTGAACTAAGCCAATAAAGCGAAATGTGGAGCGGTGTGGCGTAGTGTCCATATTCAGTTGCGTACGAGGTCTGAGTGTAAGCACCGACCAGCGCTACGAGTTCCTGGATGGGTGACCATCCGGGATTTTTAGTAAAAATCCTTGCCACACCATATACAACAAATGTTCAAACCAACCTCCAACTAATGACTCATAAAAAATAGTTGAAGTCTTAATTCGAAAAACAAAATATGTTGTTGGAATTCGGTATTGGGTAAATACTAAATATTCCCGTTGCTATTTTTTTCCCCTGATTATTTTGAAAAGTACTAGAAATATTTATTTCATACATTCCGAAATACAAACTAGATGGAAAGTGCTTCCAAAAACCTTATTAAGAACATTTTAATATTATACTATTGTTTTACTTATTTTACATATTTTCCAAGGTTTAGATGTATATGGGTAAAAATATTTGAAAATATAATAGCTATTTTCATTTTTTTAATATCGATTTATGTTTGTTATCCAACTTTGAAATGTTTCATGTTCAATATACATATTTTATAGGTAAAGACTATACAAAATAAATTCTGGTATTATTACATTGAAAATAATACTTGGTTAATTTTTAAAAAAATTCAGTGCATATATTTTTAGGTTTTTAGGATCATAAAAATAATATTATAAAAGCGCATACTTGTTTTAATTTTTTTTTATAGTTATTTAGTCCTATAGATTTTTATTCTTATTGTTTTAAATATTTTGGATAGATATACCTTCCGAAGGAGTCAGCCCGGCGGACTGCTCCGTTGTGGCCGACCACGTTGCAGTTGATGGGCTCACACTTTGGCAAACAAGGAGTGACCAGTGCCTTGAACTGTACGATGTCCGACGTGGGGAACTTGAAAGCGTCGAATGGCGCCTCCAGGATCTTGACTGTACCACCACCACCCGTGTCCACGGCCGATATCGGTCCCATGATGGCAGGGTCCGTGGGACAACCGTCGCCGTCGATGAGCAGTATCTCGCTGGTGTCCACGCCGTCTAGGGCAATCAGTTCCCGGACGAATATCTCGTACGGAGAACGGTCGTCGAGTATGTGGAACCTGAGACTGAGAGGGTCGCCCACCTGCGCAGCGTGTATGTCACCGCCTGCCCTGTTTGTGATCCTCATCATCACCGTGGGCGAAATGACGAATGCCGTTTCTTCCACACCGTTGCCTCCGACTCCGCCTACACCACCTCCGTTTTTGTCAGCCGCGTCCGACTCGACCCCGTCGTCACCGGGTTCTGTGGCCGGCGCCATCGCCAGCTCGATGCCCTGACCTACGCTTCGGTTCTGCAGGTCGTACGAGCAGCGCACTGAAAGTCCGATGTCCTGGCCCGTGACGATCTGGTCGTGGTGCTGTGACGTTATTAGTGTAACAGTTAGTGATGTAAGTTCAGTTAATTTACCAATAAATAAATGACTAATAAAATAATGTATTTACGGTTCCAAAAATTAAATAACCCCTCAATTTGCGTGTTTTTTCTATTCATTTTCATAAGCTGATCGGGATAATTATACAAATTTAGATTTGTATAAAAGGGCAATGACCGATAACCATAAGTGGTAGCACTAAATTTGCTCAATAATAAAAAGTTAGGATTATTTATTATTCCTTTACTGTTAAAATGCATACATATTTTTGAATAGGTTATAGGTATTAGTTATAACACACATACCTACTATTTATATTTTCTTTTTTATGGTAATAGAAAAATATTTTTATTTACTATTTCTTTATAGAGTATAACTTATATCAATCAAAATATGTACTGATTACTTTGGATTTAAATATTTAATATATATTTTTTTTTTTGTTTGTTTGTTATTATCATATGTTCTACAGAGCAGTTAAATCAAGTACTTAATAAATTGTACACATTTATAAAAAACTAATCTTATAATTAATAAAGGTAATTAGTTAAAAATACTGTTGGGTCTCTAATCTCTACACAAAATTATGACAACATTTCACAGGAGACGAGAAATCGTGAAATTGGTTTTACACTTCAATCTATAAGTGATAAGTAGTTCTTAATTTTATTTTTAGTTATAATATTTTATAATACTAAGGTGTGATTAAAAAATAATAAATTCGACAATTTTATTAAAAATTAGTTCAAATTAAACCTGCAGTATAAATCATAAAAAAATAATTACTTTCAGTAATATAATATATAAATGTATCAAATTATCATAAGATGTTAAAATATCCATAGAAATAAAGGGTAGGATTTAAATATGAAACACGAAAGTCAAAACATGTCAATATATTATAATACTACAATTCAGATTTATAATTCAAGCAAAAACACCAAAGTTAATTATTCTGCGATCAACAATAACTGAGTAGTGGCTCAATAAATTCTGAAAAAATATCAAAACAAGAAATACTTCAAGTTTTTGCGAAAAAAGCTCTTGAACGCGTCTTCAGATTTATTGGATCGGCAAAAAATTATTAAAACGAAATTGCTATATATCATACATTTTTTATACGTTATTTATTCTTAAATTGTATAAAATATCTAAATAATTGAAAATGTGGTCTATAAATAATATATTTTATATTTATTTATAATTATATATTTTTAAATTTTCATTGTAAAAGGAAAATGGGTGTGAAAATAAAATCATGCTCGATGAATCTGCACCCTGCAGTTTATAATAACCTACTGCAGTTGAATATTACTACATAGTACATAATAATAGTATTTGATATCCTTACCTGGATAATTATTTCGGTGAAAAACTTTCCTGGTTGATCCTGCCGGACGTCACAGTTTGGGCTATGGTAGTCCAACCGGAGGTCGAAGTCCAGAGTGCTCTTCACGTCATTGACACAAGAACTCGGCCGATTTTTTGCGTACACCTTGCCATCGAACAGCCGGTTGGTGTGCACGGACGCGACCATGTCCGCACCGCGGCAGTCGATCTTCACGCTGAAGCACGACGACATCTGGTAAGTGGTGGCACCGGCTACCGTCAGGTAAGGGCGGTGGTCCAGCTGCTGCTGTGACAGGCTGGACGTGCTGTGATGCGATACGCGGCACACGTTCACACCCGTCTCGTTGTAGTCGAATGAACGGCACTGGAACTCCTTGGACGCCAGGCATATCTCCTTGCACCTGTCGGCGGTGGCCACGTTCTCATAGATGGCGTCCACAGTCCTCAGAAGCTTGCCACCTACTTCTACAAAGTCACACATCTTTGGTTGCTCGACTACACAGTTCGACTCCATGTAGTCCACGACGTCGGCCGACCGATTGCTGATCGGTGAGCGCCCGGACACGGTGAACCGGTCCACGTCGTTCATGTAACAGTCACCGGTCTCCTTGTTGAAATTGACAGACCTGCGAGCACGTCCAATTGGACATACGACAACGTCAATCCAAGTTCGTTTATACAATGACATATGCATATAGTATAATGTGGGTATATATATATATATATACATAAATACGAGGGCATTATCTACTATTTTCTACTGCATATTTGGAGAGTACAATAATTGAATACTTAGGTAATTAGATGTACTCTGAAAACTTAAATGGTGAAAGCTCATTCTCAAAGTATTCTGTGTACGTGCGTAGGTATACATAGTATCCCACTCAAAAGTATTCCAAGTATTTTTTAAATAGAATTGATTTAAGGTAAAACATTAGTCCTCCTGCATTAAAATTAAATGTAATATAACGATTATGTTTTGTTCCAGCATACTTATGTTTTGCGCGATTCATACCGTATTTACTATTTGCATACGTATTTAATATGCAAACTTGTTTTTTGTCGTTATTTGATGATAAATATATCATTTTCAAAAGAAAAAATGTGGGTAAGAGGGTAACGCTATACGCTGTACATTCGGTGTCTAGAGAGTTACTGTAACGGATGTGTTAAATTTGAATTCAATGAGCTTACCAAGCCGGACTAATTAGTAAAATTGAACGGGTCTAAATCGATTTTTAAGAGTACTAGCATTTAAGTCTCATAGAACTGACGTCTCGCTTGAGCAACTAGCTAGCGAATATCGAGTCGTTTAAAAATAGGAGAACATTTTATGATGTGTCTTGGTTGTATATAAACTGCTAAACTCTCAAATAAATTGTCCAGAACTCCTAAGCCAAATTCCTGTAAATGTTCCTCAAACAAATAATCGTGTGTCGAAAACGTTTTATGTACCCACTACCCACTACCCACTACCCACTTATCGTAATAATTATAGTCAATTTGCACCGATTAATAGAATACTAATTTCTAGTAACTCAATAAATAATTTCGATTTTTTTCATGACAATTTAACCAGGTTGAAATCAATATTTAAATGTTAAGTGTTATCTATGTATAATAATATATCAGAAATCGGTCTTATTGTTTTCAATTTTCAAGCTTTTTAATCCATTGAATAAAATTGTACTGACATTTATAGAAAAAAAAAAAGTAAAAACTAAACAAATTGAAAATTTAAAATGTCCATAAGCAGCTCAAAACATGTCAAAATATTTTTAAAATGTCATCAAGTATAGAAGATGACATAAAAGTATATTTAAAAGATCAAGGATTATTAATGTTTTTGAATAACAACAAAATAAAAACATTGTTCCATAAGAAATCGAGTGAAGTGTGTCTACAGTTATTTTTTTTAGAGTTAGGTACACTAAAAACAAAATCAATTTTTTCTAAAACTGGTTTTGCGTCTTAGTTTTGCCTGAATCATTGTTTATTTTTCCTGATGCTTTTGAAAACTATTCGGAACTTTTACTTTTTACCACTCAAAGTACCAACTAAATTCACTTTCCTATCAGTAAAGATTATATTGAAGAAAATCACACATCATTATTAAATCAATACTTTCGTCGCTTCACTCAGAATCCAAGATAATTTTGTCTTTTAAAAACAGTATTTAAAAAAAATTAGAATATTTCTAACAAAATTTGAAATATTTTATATTAGGCCGATAAGCTATCAATTCAAAACCAAAACAAATATTGCTATACAAAATATACAAAATTGATCTGAATAGGTTTTAATTTCAATTGAATATCTTGTTTTTTTTTTCAAAGTTATGTGTTTAGCTCTAGCAGTTCAATAGATTTTGGCGCCATTGTAATATAACCCATTGAAATTGTTCTCTGATCATTTCACGTCAGATTTAAAATATATTAATCAATTAAAATTTGCATTTGCATATAAATTCTATTATGACTATTGTCTATGATTATATTATTTTACAAAAGTTGTATAATAACCAATGACCTAGGTATAGAGTTTTTTCCGTTATCCGGAAGTTAGTACTAAGTACTCTAAACTTAATACTCAAAGCGTATTGTTGGATTTATGTCGAAGTATTTACATATTTGAATACATGAATAAAGTAATAATTGTATCATTAAAATAATTATAATTACAAAAGCTCTCCTGATAACTCCAAATTCGGACAAATCGATGTGGAGTATTGGTTCAGACTACACTACAATATAAATATGAATTTATTAAACATTTAGTAACTCGGTATTTTTATTTTATAACCTTAACTTTTAATTTAAATACTTAAATCTATACTATATTATATTTTACATGAATGTTTGTTTTTAAACAACTTCATTATTCCTTGCTGTAGTCATGTCTTAAGTATCAACGTTTTATTATTTGTAATAATATTTCTTTAAAATATGATGTTTACTATGCATAGTTTATAAGCTGTATTTATTTACATATACTGCTAGCTATTATTTAAAAAGTCCCACATAGGTGTGTATATTTCACGGCAATTTAAATAATAGCTGGTGAACGAAAAGTATATCAATTATTCATAGTTATTATCTTTTCAAGATGTATATTTAAATCCGGAACTCTTACGGCCACTTACAGCAACAACAGAAGTGGTACAAATAATACATTAAAATAATATGATAAAATGAAGTAATTTAGAAAATAATAATTATAATAAACACAATATTGTGCCAACATAAAGAGAATCTAGGTTATTCCATTTATCTTGCTCGTGTTGTGTCGGCGTATAATATTATTTTACACTATTACCAACTAATCAAGAGGCACAAAGTATCGCAAACCGGAAACCGGAAAATTATGTTTGATTTTATTTGAAACCCGCAACACCACTGTTATATACCTATATAATAGTTATATATACTGCCTGTATAAAGTATGACTTATAAGAAATATTGATTTTTAGTTTTTACTGATTTAATACACTTATAATTACACGTACTTATTCATTGATCAGGTGGTTGGTATAGGCACCTCTTACTTCTATATGCAACTAGCTGAATTACCCGGCTTCGCCCGTGTGTAGTTTTTGGTTTCTCAAAATGAAATTCTTATATCAACGAACATTGTTGTGTTTTAAAGAAGAAAAAAATGTATTTTACTTTATGCTATCAAGTGATAATTAGTATTAGTAGCTGAATTATAAATAAAACAAAAATAATAATGATAATACTATTTGCAATTGATTCTAATGATTCTATACACATATTGTGTAAAAGTATTATTATTTTTCGATAACGCAATTTGTATAATTGTGATCAATTATCGATTGATATTTGGTGTTTTCTATATAACTCTTAACTTAATAAAAATGTTATGTTAGTTTGTTCTTTATAATTTCGGCCAGTATCCCTACGTCATAAATATACTGGTTGCAACCGATGCAACGTACAACCGCCAGTAGACAAATTAATTGTTGTAGTGTCGTGTCGAAATATTCGAAATGCTTTGGAACAATCCATATCTATACTCCGATAAAGTACACACACACAAAAAGGTAAAAGTCTAGGTAGATGGAAACCTTCGGGCCGCCGTGCTGTATCGTATTTCCCGTTATCGGCCAACTGCTATCGTTATTATTATTTGAAAATAAATATATAGAAATTACACGTAAAAAATTATTTTTACCGATTTCAACCCTTTAAAATCAAAATTTTGGAAATCGGGTGACTAAGGTATTTGGAACAATTCTTTAAAAAAAAAAAATTGAAAAAAAAAGCATCGTTACAAAATGGGTGTATAAAAAAGACCTGTTCTTTTATATATATAGCAGAGATTAACTTATTTAGATCTTAAGATAAAAGAAAATGATTGCTTATTCATGCTCATTGCTCATTTTTAACGGCTGAATATTGATAGATATTATAGATGTAATACAATTTAAATCTTGAAATCAAAGATTGAACTGTATATTTGAGCATTTATTCCGATATATGTTTAATAAACTGAAATCGTTTTTCACTGTAAGGAAGATAATAGCCAGCCAGCAGCCACTCATAATAAATTGATGTATAATAGATGGGTAACGATAATACGAATATAATATTATGTACATATTGTTAACTGTTAAGTATCGGAACAACGCAAATAAAAAATTTCCTTTCGATCTTTGTAACGTTATGAATTCTAAAAAAATCCTTAGATACTGCACAGCAGAGATATGTTAACAATACGCCACGAATCACGATTGTTATTATATTATGTATAGATACCTAGTCACTCGTTACGTCAAGTTTAATAATATCATTATAAATACAAAATTAGTTAATAACTATAGCAATAATATTATGGTAAATCTATAATGGCGTATTGGCGTGTGTGAGAGGTGAAGCGAGGGCCGATTCGCGGTTACTGCTATCATTGCTTGACGGTCGATCATCATGTCAAAAATAAATGCTCCGTCCGACGATTTATGTAAAATCACTTGTTGCTTTTGAATAATTTATATTGCGAATTGTGTAGCTGATGATGTGGGTGTGCCTATGTGACGTGCGTGTATATCATGGATTGCGACTTGCGAGTAAAAGACATAGGTAATATGGCATAATCAGCATTCGAAAAGACGTTTATCGTAGGGAGCACATAATTATAATTGTCAGCATTTATAGCATCGATAATAATAACGGTACACTTTTAATTACAAATTATTTAGATATATTCCCCTCTATCACGCTTATTCCATTAACCGATATTGAAGTTAGAACATATGTACTGCGATTCATCAACATTTTCCTTGCCACTTTACTATTTTGTATAATGGTTAGTTTTTTAAGTAGTTTTTTCACAATGAAATATTGATAATTCTAGTATATGAATTTCCATCTCCAGGTGAACGTGCCCACTCTCAGTGTACTCCATGAACACTGCCCTGTTATACCTAACGGAATGTATAGTAATAATATTATACAAAGTTGTGCGGATACAACGACGAGTGACTTCCAACACGAGGCTGTTGCTGTGTACTGGTTGACCAAAGACGTCATACTTCGACGATTTTCATAATAATAGGTAATTATTATCTTGACGAGTAAAAACTCATTTTCTGACTTATACCATAAACGGA